CAAGTAGGTATGATTTTACGTTGTAACTTGTAAGATCTGTCACCTGCAGGTACTAGAAAATGTGCAGAATATTTCCTCTTAATTTAGTACCATCATCATTTTGTCAATTAATTAATCCTTTAATACAGAGATCTTAAAGGCAGGTGGAAACAGGGAATCAGGGAACAGTGATGATATGAATTATTTTATTAACGCACTTGATCCGCAACTTTTGTATGCTTTCAATTCAATGCTCAACTTGCAGTACGGCATAATTTTTGCCCTACATAATTGGAATTGGCCTTTTCTTCTTTTTTGTTGTCTCATTTTTGGGTCACTTTGAATACATAGGAATATGATGGTCCTGAACTTTCCCTTCATCCCGGTGGTTGGGTTCCACTAATTCTTCGGTTTGGAACTATTTTTGTTTTTAATTGTTAGATACTCCATCTGGCCTGTCGTAAGTTTTCTCTAATATGCTTTTTTCAATAAAAATAAAAATGCTAAAATATATTTTTATATTCATTTTATTTTGCTAATTTATTAAAAAAACATTTTTAAGAATTTTTGAAATTAGAAAAACATATTAAATAAAATTTTAGACAAATTAAAATGTCTTATAATAATAATTGAAGGGAAGATTTCTTAAGTTGCACGACAACGAGAGATTTAAATTGCTAATTTCGTGTTGATTTGACTTAAAGAAAGGTCTACAATGCTCAGAAAATTGTGTAAGCTGAACACATACAATATCGGAGTCGGTGAGGAAACGAAAGGCAAAATTAATATGGAGACTCAACATCGAAGGAAATATACGAAATGACCAGTTTTGGCTTGATTTTTTAACTTTAAGACATTACCAAAAAAGAAAAAAAAAATCAAATGTAAAACGACGTGTTCATTTCTGAACTTTTCGTTGCAATTGACTGTAGAATGGAATGAAAGATCATTCACTATACTTATTTTCTTAAACCAATAAAAAACATCCTTCATTTAATATCTTGGAATTGCTGACGTGTCTCAACTATCAATTCTACAGTTTACATTATTAAACGATGCTGTAATCAAATTGAATGAAAGTATATGGATAACGTTGTTTATAGCCGCACGTTTCAGTTGTATTTGTTGATTATTTTTCCTTTGATTTCTTTTTCCCAATATCGCAACACTTTTTTATTGTTGACTTATCATTTGGTCAATATGAAAATAATTTAATGTTTGGAATCACTTATTAAGAGTTTGAACACAGTTTCATGTCTAACATCAAATTCACTCGCATTAGTTGATGACGGAAGAACCCTTAACATGTACGTAAACATAATTTTTTTTTCTCAATGGAAAAACGAGTATGTATCCAGCGTACTCGAGAGCATGTATATCCCTTCCTATTTTTTTGTACTATTAGTCCTTATTGTACTTTTTCTTCAATCTTTTAATACTTTACAGGTTTAGCAACTGTCACTTTTTTCTCTCTCTTACAAAAAAAAAAAAAAAACATCTCTAATCTTTAAACAAGCACATCGCAAAATCCATAAAAAATTAGAAAACGTGTTACGCGTTTCGTAAAGATCTATCAAACGAAATCCATATCAGATATTTTTTTCGAACTTAAAAATGAGTAAATTTTGATGGGTAAAAATAAAGAAATTTGTATGGATATCTAGTTTAGACAAATGGATATCCAACTTATTTTAGATTGGTTATCCATTGTGTTCATTCTGATTATCCAACCAGTTTGAACATGTTATCCATTTTGTTTGTACTGTTTATCCATTTGGTTTGTATACATATCCAACTTGCTTTGTCGTTGTAATCTAACGGGTTTGTATGCATATCTAAATTGTTTGTACTGGATATTTATCCAACTTGTTTGTACTAGATATCCATCCATTTGGTTTGTATATTTATCCATTTTATATGTACTAGTTATCCAACGAATTTATATGGCTATCCAAATTGTTTGTACTGGTTATCTAATCAGTTTTTTCTTTGGAAAAATCATAGTCCAATACGCTAATACTGGTTATCCAATTTGTTTATGCTGCTTATCCAATCATTTTTTTTCTTTAAAACACGATTATCCAATGTGTTCGTAGTAATTATCCAATCGCTTTGTATTGGTTATCCAATTATTTTTACTGCTTGTCCAAATAATTTTTTATTGCTTGTCCAATCATTTTATTCTTCTTTTGAGAAAATGCTTGTCCAATATGTTTGTACTGATTATCCAACCCCGATCTATTGTTTATCCAACTTTTTTTCGTTATGAACATATTTGTCCGATATGTTTGTACTTGTTATCCAAGTAATTTGTACTGTTTATCTAACCTAATTTTTTCTTAAACTGATTATCTATTGTGTTCGTACTGATTATCCGACCGGTTTGAACCGATTATTTATTTCGTTTGTACTGGTTATCCAATTTTTTTTCTTAGAAAATTATTACCCGATGTGTTGATTAATTAGTACTACTTATCCAACCTAGTTTTTCTTTTTATCATTATTATTATTTTAAAAAAAATAGTTGTCTAATGCGTTCATATTGATTATCCAACTGCTTGGTATAGATTATCCGGCCAATTTTTTTTTCTACTCTTTGCGAGAATTCTTGTCCATTTCTTTGTACTGACTATCCAAACGTTTTGTATTGGTTATCCAATCATTTTCATTGATTATCCAAACATAATTTCTTTTCTTTTTTTTTCTTTTGATAAACTATGTGCCCAATGTGTTCATGCCGATTATCCAACTTCTTGGCGATTGTTATCCAATCTATTTCTTTATTTGCTCTTTTATGGAAATGATTGTCCAATTTTTTTGTGCTGATTATCCAACCAGTTTGTACTGCTTATCCAGTTATTTTCACTGATTATCCAAATATTTTTTTTCTTTTCTTTTTTTTTGAAGATGAGGGAAAGTAAAAAATATGATTGGATAACCAGTACAAAAAAACGAATAATAAGTCCAAGCCAGTTGGATAATCAGTATGAACACAACGGATAACCATTTTTCAGAAAAAAAAAATACATTTCTTCAAATCTGCCCGTAAAATTTAAATGCATCTAAAGTTCAAAAAAAATTCAATATTGATATTATCGAATAGATCTCGTCGAGTACTGTGAATTTCATATATAATTCTTTTTCTAATTCTTTACGGTTTGAAAGATATAAATTTTATAAGAAAAAATATTAATATAAAATAATCACTTATCCATCTTTTTAAACTGGATATCCACTTTAATTCTTTCCATCGAAATTCGATCATTTTTTAAGCTCGAGAAAAATATTCGATGTGGATCTTGTTGGATAGATCTCGTCGAGTACTATAAATTTCATACATAATTCGTTCACAAATTCTTTACAGATTGAGAAATATGCTCGTTTAAATATTAGAGATATTTTTTGGAAGAGAGAGAAAAAAGTAACAAGGGCTAAATTTGCAAAAATATAAGAAGAGTTGAGAAAAAAGTACAATAAAGACTAGTAATGCAAAAAATAAGAGGGGGAGCATGTTGCTTTCGGATATACTAGATAAATTGCCGAAAAAACAGTTTGATACGTACACATATTTTTTTCTTCAACAATTCAAGAGCAATTGCATGCTACTTCCTAAAAGCAATTTTTATGGATGACTGAGGCTTGCAACTGGGACAAAAAGTACCTATTTGGAAAAAAAAATGGAGAAAAAAGGAATTTTCAATAGTGGCAATATATCCTTCCTAAGTTGATCCATTCCTAGATCGTTTTCTCTATTCGTTCTACTTGCCCATATACGTGGGTCTTTCGAGCTTTTAGGCTTAGTTGTCTCAGTCTATAGTAAATTGAAGAACCTTGTCCCACAAGTCTTATTATACATACAGATTTTTTGTTTATAATACCTCAAATAAAAGTTACAAGTGTATATGATTATGTCAATATGTTTGTGTATGTTATTATTAATGAATTTATAGAATTCTTATATTTAAGCAAAAAATGTTATGCTTTTTAATAAGGCTGAATTTTGTTTTTGTATATGTTTTTTTTCCTTTTGAAATAAATGACATTGTTTCATTAGTAAAATTTGATTTGCACTTTTAGGATATGATCTCAAGAATGGCAACGTGCTTTCGATTTCTTTGTACTTAATTACTTCATCACATCTCACTGAAATTTAGGTTTTTGGTTGTAAATACTGCTTTTGATGTGTATAATGTTGTGTTTTTGCTCGATTAAGTTCTAGAGTATCAGAGATATACTCATTCCCCCAAAAAAAAAAAACCGTACAGGGAAATTTGAGAACAAAAATATAGAAATTTAAGCAATTATTAACTTATAAACAAGTGATTATACAAAATGCCATAATTCTAATTTTAAGAATTTTAATCATCAAAACTGTAGACTGCGATTGTAATAGACCTGGTGAGTTCCAGCGTTTCCAAAAACCAATGCTTTATATATATACACCATTTCCATCGCGTATAGGAAGTACAACTTGTGAAGCAAAACATCCCACATAAAAAAGCAACTTCTTCAACAAAATTCAATCATTTTCTAAGCCTATTTTTTCCTTCATTGTTTCTTTCTTCGAGTCATCTGGAATTCGTTTGGTTCCTTTATACTTACTATTTCACCGGAAAATAAACCAGACACAAATTTTCAATATCGCAATACAGAATACCTTAGTATCATATTTCACGCACGTACTTGAAAGTATTTCTATGTCAATCATGAGCACCTCGGACAACAGTTTTCCGGCCATACAAACACCATTGTTGTTAGAAAAAGATGATATAGTCAGGGATACTGTAAATTACACAGGCCGTCCGGCCAAGCGATCCAAATCCGGCAGATGGTTATCCGCTTCTTTCATTGTAGGTACAAGAAGATTTTAACGCATCATTTTATTTGCATCATATATTGCGTCCCAAAAAAAGGAAAAATATGCAATCTTTTATTTTTGCTTTTTTTTTAATTTTTTTTTATTTCAATTGTTTTTTATTAATTAGTGTCAAATTTTTTTTTTTTTTTGTTTCAAGTGGTGGAGATGGCGGAGTTCTTTTCGTATTATGGAGTAAGTGCAAATTTGATCAGTTACTTGACGGGCCCACTTGGTCAATCCACCGCCACGGCGGCGGAGAACGTAAATGCTTGGTCGGGAATTGCCATGCTTATGCCGTTGTTGGGGGCTTTCGTCGCTGACTCATTTCTCGGCCGGTACCGGACCATTGTTGTTGCTTCTGCGCTCTATATCCTGGTTAGTGTGCTATCAATTAATCTTTTTTTTTTTTTTTGCCTTTTCTTTTGTTTCTTTTCTTTTCCTTTTTTTCCATTTTATTAAAATTACAGGTCCTTTCGCGTGATTATTATTAATGTTGAAACAGTAACTAGATATTTTCCTATGTTGCTAATTTAACCACATGTGGACTATTCAAACTGCGATAGATTGAATTATAATAATTTACTTTATCATTCTCCTTTTGTGTCAAAAAAAAAAATTAGTTCACCATAAGTTTTGAAACTTGCACTAAGACTAGTATAATTCTAAAAATTAACGTGGATTAATTTTTTTTTTTTTTGACAGAGATAGTATTTTTTTTAATAAAATATTGTTGAATCTACGATGATACTTGGCGTGGGAGTAAAACTATTTTATTTTGTTACATTGGATAATTAAAATAGGACGGAGAATGATTATTAAGACTATTTGTATCCTAACTGTACTGCACTTGTTAGGTTTGTATTAACCAACATAGAACATAGAGCGTATAAGAGATGAGGTTATAATTATGCATCAACACTTGTCAACGTTCTTCAATCAAATTTTGTCCTGAAACATCTACATATGGTTATCATGAGATGATCCTTTAATTATCTCATCAGAGGTTGATTGACGTGTAAGTACTATGTGATGTGCTCAGAGACATACAAATACACCTCACAACCATATGTGTGTGCTAGTGAAGAATGCTTTATGTAAGAAAGACGTCTTGACAGTAACTCTTCTCCTGTCCAAGTGAATTAGCCAATTAAGTTACCACCCGTTATGAGATTTCCAAATTATCCAAATTAAATGACCATTAGCTAGACTTTTATAAGTAACCTGTTTTGACTTTTGGGTAGAAATTTACTTTTTATTAACACAGTAAACCTTAATATATATGTCTCAAGGATATATAATAAATTATTTGATTATAACTAGTTACAATTTATGCACAAAGATCCTTTTCTTTTTTTTTTTTCCCTTTTTTTTAAATACTAAACTCCCGGCAAAATTGCATGTTGAATTACAGGGAATAGGGCTATTGACGCTTTCAGCCTTCTTAACTTCTTTCAAGTCATCCGACTGTCAAACTACATCAAATAGTATTACTCTTTGTCCTCCTTCTCAGCTTCAAGTCATCTTATTTTTCTTCTCATTATACCTAATAGCACTAGCACAAGGAATGCACAAGCCTAGTATTCATGCATTTGGAGCAGATCAATTTGATGAATCACATACAGAAGAAAGTAAAGCCAAGAGCTCGTTCTTCAATTGGTGCAATGTTGGTACTTGTTTGGCCATCACCCTTACCTATTTAACCTTGACTTATATTCAAGATAGCCTAAGTTGGGGTCTTGGATTTGGAATTCCTTGTTTGGTCATGATTTTTGCACTAGTTTGGTTTCTTCTTGGTACTTTCACGTATCGGTTTCATGCGACTCATAATGATGATCAAGGACAAGGACAAGGCAAACCCTTTTCGAGAATTGGTCGGGTGTTCATTAAAGCAGCCAAGAATTGGAGAACCATTTCCTGTGCAAAAGGCATGGATGCGGAGAATCAAGAGCATGTTTTGCCTAATTTGGGCTCTCAACAATTCAAGTGAGTATTATACCATAATCCTATTGTAGTTATATTGCTTGAGAATCGGTTTTCTAATTAACAAACAGATTACAGTTTTCAAAGTTCAGACTTCAGATTATCGAACAGATTATAGTTCACAGCTTTCAGACTTCTTATTATAGAACAGATTAACCTAAGTACCAATACATTTGCAGGTTCCTAAACAAAGCGCTGTTATCTTTTGATGGCTCAATGGAAGAAGGCCAAGTTTGTAGCATAAGTGAAGTTGAAGATGCTAAGACAATACTAAGGCTGGTTCCGATTTGGTGTTCTTGTTTTGCATATGGAATTGTTTTTTCTCAGCCACCGACTTTGTTCACTAAACAAGGGCTTACCATGGAGAGATTTGTCACTTCAAAGTTTCAAGTACCCGCAGCCTCACTACAATCTTTCTCTAGTGTCACAATCATGGTCTTCCTCTGCCTCTACGATCGCGCTGTAGTTCCCATAGCAAGAGCCATAACCAGAAAAACTTCCGGCATAACAATGTTGCAAAGGATCGGAACTGGAATATTCTTTTCAATTTTGTGTGTCTTTGTAGCGGCTCTAGTTGAAAGAAAGCGTCTTGAAATTATCAAAGAGTTTGGTTTAGTTGATTTGCCTAATGCAACAGTGCCAATGAGTGTGGCTTGGTTGTTACCTCAGTATTTGTTATTGGGAGTTTCTTGTGCTTTCACCATTACCGGTTTGCAACAATTTTTCTATGATCAAATGCCTAATGAATTGAAAAGCACAGGACTTGCTCTCTACCTTACTACATTAGGGTTAGGAGAATTGCTTAGTAGTGTTCTCATCTCTGTGATTCAGAAGGTGACCGGTGGATCAGACGCACATGATGATCATTGGTTTTCGGATAATCCGATGAAAGGACACCTGGATTACTTCTATTGGTTGCTTGTTGGAGTTAGTACAATGTCATTTGCAGCTTTTGTGTACTTTGCAAAAGGTTACACTTACAGGAATCAGTAACTCTTATCACACTGCTAGCTAGTACATGTTATTTAATTTCTTTTTCCTCTAATATATTAAGCACTTGATATCTGAAATAGTTTTCAACATATATATTATAATTGCTTAATGTAAATTTGAGTTTAGTAGTCCTATTTAAGTATTAATAACTAGGACTTTTTTTCACTTTTTTTAACCAAGAAAATGAAATGATTGTATGCGTTACATTTGGTATTCCTTTAATGTTATGACCTTTGATCTTCTTCCATTGGTTTTCTCTATTATTTTTATCTTAAAGACTATATATGAACAAATTAATTCATTAGTAGTCTTTTTTAACTATTAACTAAGAGTTTTTTTTTTGCCCCCTCTTTTTTTACCAAGAAAATGAAAAAATTTTATGTGTTACATTTAGTCCTTTGATATTATGATGACCTTTTATCTCCTTTCATTAATTTATTCTTTTATTTTTATTATTATGATGTGAACAAATTAATGTTCATTATTAGCCTTTTAAGTATTATCTAGAAGTTTTTTTTTTCCTTTTTTTAACCAAGAAAATGAAAAGATGCTATTCTTTTAATGTTTTGACCTTAGATTTTCTTCCATTAACTTTCTATTTTATTTTTTTCTTAAAATATTATGAACAAATTAATGTTCACTATTAGTTGTAATTTTATAGGCCATGATTTCAACTAAAGCAGTTTTCTAGCTATAAATTTTTCACGTCTTTTATTCTTCTCTTTTTTTTAATTTTAAGATTTTATTAATGAGAATTAAAAAAAATTTATTGTATAACTCAAATAAAATACTAAGAGTTTTGTATCTTTATAAATTTGTGGATGTATGTAGTTCTCAAAAATAAGAGTTTTGGCACATTTATCTTTTTCTTTCTTACAAGTGTTCACTCTCTGCTTGCGTTTCCATCCCGAATTCATTGAAGGTAATCACTATTATTTTTACTCTTTTCTTATGTAACGTTAAGTTTTGGTTTTTCTTTCTTCTATTCTGTTTTCTTTGTTTGGGGATGGGTTGTTACATAAAAATTTGATTGTATTGTTTATTTTGTATATGTATGTTATTTTTTTTTCTTAGAGTTAGAGTATTATTGTATTTATACAAAATTGTGAAAAAATATTCCCTTATGCGTGAAGCACGTTTATTTCATTTACTACTCAATTGATTAGTCTTCAGTGGCGTCGGTCACTGTAGTTGATTCGATTCTTTCCATTTTTTTAGTCATTATCTATCAAACGTTGTACATGAGAACCATCAAAGCCAATGAAGTGAATGCCCAAATGTTTGTGGCATTTTGATTAATTCCATTCTGTGATTGATGTTCTTATTTATTTAGATATTTAAAGGTCAATCTCGTGACTATAAACTTGCATAAAAATGTAAATAACGACAAACATTCTGGGAAGTTGTTGTAATATTTTGGTCATGTATATAAAAAATAACCTTCAAGCAAAACAAAAAAAAAAAAACGAAAAAATAATGGACATCTATAACTTCGGATTCCGACTTATATTGGATTCCGATTTACACACACACACACACACACACACACACACATATATATACTAGTAATGTCTGGTCGCGCATTGCGCGACCATGGCCCAATATATCTGTAGATCATAGAAATGCTTGTATCTGAAAAAAATATTTTGTATTTGGACTGATATATTTTAGAAATGTTTTATAATTGTGATCACAGAAATGTTTGTATTTGGCATAAAAAGAAATTGTATTTGGCCCGGTACATTTTAGAAATGTTTCAAGATTTTAGAAATATTTTATAAGTGTTACTACTTAAATATAAATAAACTTGATCAAACATATATCTTCAAGTAAATGCTAGACAAAATATAAAAGCATCCTAATAATTTTAAATATTAGTAAGATAATTTATTGATGTTCTCCATTGGCTCGCCAAATCAATACTTAGTTTTGGAGATTTATAATAGCTTTATAGTAAGCTTCCTCCAACAGGTATACGCTTAATTGTTGGAACTATTTCTTCCAAAATTTTATAGGTAGTAAAATATAAAAAATATGATTTTGAAACTGGTTAATTGTTAAAATTGGTTGATCACAAATATCAGATGAAAATAATATAAATTTGCATAGGTTTCAAGTTATAGCAAAAAAGAGCTCACCTCACTATGGCAAATAAAATAAAGTGAGCTTTGATTGCATGATCAGGCGAGTGAGCATGAAATGTCATAACCACGAATTTTTTAAGTTGCATCGAAGCATAATAAAGAAATTTGAACCCTCCAAATTCACCTGCATTAACTATTAAAATTGTGGTTGGTAGACATAAAATTCATCCATATATTAACGTAAGAAATGATAAATTCCAAAGGGTGCGTGAATGTGATAAATATCAATGTAATTTAAGTCTGGTGGTAGGTGCATAGTGAGATTTAGTAATCAAATAAATTGCAGTAAAATCCTTAATAATTCCCAAATCTTTTTCCCTTTTCCACGGAACTCTATAAAAAGGTATCATAATGTGAAAAGAAGAAGCACAGACAAAAAAAAAAACTTCTCTCTTGCTTTTACAAATTACTATTTCCAAACCAAAAACCATGAGCAAATCCATTGTTCTCTCCCTTTTGTGCATGACCATCTTTCTTGGTCTCAGCACTCCTTCTCAAGGTGAAAATCATTCCTAGCTACAATCTTTACTACATTATCATCATTTTACATCTCTCAATTTTCCCTCATTTTTTCTTCAATTAATAAGTGTATCATATTTTTTATCCTTTATTTATACGTTTTGTTGATTAATATGCAGGCCAAGGACCATCACTTTGTCCAGTAACATTTCCATTACCAGATGGGAATGCTTGTGGGAGTGATGGCAACTTTAGATGTATTAATGAAGCACTGAGGAGATATCCCGCTAGTTCGATGCCTCAGAAATGTTCTTGCAGTGATGCCAGACCAAAGACCGACGAGTGCCAATGTTCCATTGTTTGTCAATGAAGAAATCATTCATTGGAGAGATGTATACATGTCATCAAAATAATTTTATTTTTTATAAGCAGTTTTAGTTACAATAATTCAGGTTAATTTCAATCTCTTCGAGTCATATCGTGTGATATATTTTTAATAAGTGATTTTGATTACTATTTCTTGAGTTGACTATAAATCATAAATAAAATTCGGCATAAATCAGTTAATCATAATTGTAAAAACTGTTTACAGAATAATGAAATTAAAAGGTTTTAAGAGGGTAAGTAGGGAAAATATATAATATATCATAAAATATGAAACCTTTGAAGAAAAAATTTCCATAATTCATATCCATACAATAAATCCCGGTTGTTTCCTCATTTTTGAATTAGAAATTGTCAGCCAAGAAAATAATGTCAATTACGTTTCCTTGACGGGATTAAATATTGAGTCAAAACTCAAAACGCGAAAGCAATAAAATGACCAACAAATACAGCTACTTCTAGATAAAAAATTGAAAATGGTTAGAAATTTTGATTAAAGAAATGAAAGCTCGTATATGATAAATAAACATAACATCGTTCCCCTCAAAAACATTTTCATGTTTTTTTGGAGATTCTTTTTATAATAAAACCAGAAAAAAGTAAACACTTATTAAAGATTTCCTTCAATAAGTAATAATGATTTTATCACTGATACTACAATTTATGGAATGATAAAAAAGGAAAAAAAAGGAAAAGAAAATGAAGTTGCTCTTTTTTGGAATATTATCTTATTTTATTTTATTTTTTTTAGAAAATTGGACTTGTATTAAATCAGAAAGTAGTAAATGCTGGAAAAAAAAAGAAGAAGTTTGTTTTGTAAGTTGATGTCAGGTTAAGGGTATTTTCTTAGTATAACAAAATAATGGAGGCCAAAACGTATATACAATGAAATTTGGGAGGCAGAATGTACTTCACCCATTTTCAGACTTGATCACCTTCTTCAACATGAACATCATCAGATAATCGAATTCATTTGGGCCAGGAATCAAGAAATCACGTTCTTCTTCATTGTATTTTTTGTAGCATTTGATTTTGCTCGTGATGTTAACTCAAGCAATTTCAATTCGGAAGGCCCAGATTAGCTTGAGACTTCAGTGATGGCTTCCTCCGCCGTCGATTCACCGTTGTTGTCAAACTCCGACATAGTCGAAGGAAACGTTGACTTCAAAGGCCGACAGGTCAGGCGGTCCGAATCCGGTAGATGGAGATCAGCTTCTTTCATCATAGGTATAGCTGATATTAATGTTTGTTTTGTCCCCAATTTCCCCATTTTCTCTTTTCAATTCAATTTGCATAAATGGAGCAAATCTTTTGGCTAAAATTTTCCTTTTCGGTAAAGGTGTGGAGATGGCGGAGAGATTTGCTTATTCTGGAATTAGCGCGAATTTGATTACTTACTTGACGGGCCCACTTGGTCAGTCCACTGCCGCCGCCGCCAAGAATGTAAATGCTTGGGACGGCACGGCGGCGCTTCTGCCACTTGCTGGTGCTTTTATCGCCGACTCATTTCTCGGTCGTTACTGCACCATTATCGTCGCTTCGGTGCTCTATATCCTGGTTAGTCTTACTGGAGGCTTGCCCTTAACATCTATCATCATGATTATGATTATTATTATTTGCAGTGGGTAAGAGTTATTTGAGTTTTCGGATGGAGTTTTAATTTTCTTGATTGAAATATAATGGACTGAATTGAGTCGACCTTTTTGTTTCCCCTTATTTGCTCTGTTCAGACATTGAAATTTGGAATAGGGTACATTACACTGCATAAATGATGATCAATGTTTCATGTAGTGTAAGTTATGATAGGGCTGCATAGATGATGATCAATGCTACTGACGGACTTGTGTAATCGATTATTGGTACAAATTTTAGATTGAAAAACTTCGGAGTAGATAGGCACTAGTTAACAATTAGGTTGCCTTGTATCATGTAGGCACTTGGTTCATTGACTCTCTCAGCTACCCTGCCCATCTTCAAGTCATGTGAGTATCAGGTTGCTCCTAACGTCCTGGCATGTTCTCCTGCCGAGATTCAAGTTGCCATTTTCTTCTTTTCGTTGTATCTAGTAGCAATAGCGCAAGGAATGCACAAGCCGTGTGTCCAGGCATTTGGAGCAGACCAGTTTGATGGACAAAATCCGGAAGAGGCTAAAGCCAAAAGCTCGTTCTTTAACTGGTGGTATCTTTCTATGTGTGCGTCTATAACAGTCACTTTGGTGATTTTGACCTATATTCAGGAAAATTTTAGCTGGGGCCTCGGGTTTGGAATCCCATGTCTTGTCATGCTAATTGCTCTAATCTTGTTTTTGCTTGGAACAAATACTTACCGGTTCCACGTTCAGTGTGATGAAAGCAACCCGTATCTGAGGATTGTCCGAGTATTTATTAGAGCCGCTAAGAATTGGAGGACCACTCCTTCCGAGCTGGAGCGGCAGAGAGTTCATTCCTATCTAGGTTCTCAACATTTGAAGTGAGTTCCGTGATCTTGTTCTGTAGTTTTTCATTACTGAGAAGGAAATGGTTGTTGCTGTTCCTGAAAATGAGCTCGTTGTTAGTCATTTATTTAAGCAGTTACCGAATTGCTAGCTTCGACAGGTTTAGTCATATAGTTTTCCTCACACCCAAAATAAAGTATAACTCTTTTAGTTATTCTGCTTTATTGATATATCTCTTTATGTAATTTCCATAGATTTCTCAACCAAGCATTGTTAGGACCAGATGGTTCACGTGAACAAGGGGAAGTATGTAATATCAGTGAGGTTGAAGAAGCAAAAGCAGTTGTTAGGCTATTTCCAATATTGGCAACATGTTTGGTTTACGGAATCGTATATTCACAATCATCCACTTTATTTACCAAGCAAGGAGTTACAATGGATAGATATATTGGTCAGAACTTTCAAGTACCTGCTGCTTCACTTCAATCTCTCATCACTTTGTCCATAGTTGTGTTTGTGCTTCTCTATGACCGTAGTTTGGTTCCTATTGCTCGAGCTGTAACTGGGAAACCTTCAGGTATAACAATGCTTCAGCGAATTGGTACTGGATTATTGCTCTCATGTCTCACCATGATTATAGCTGCTTCTGTCGAGAAAAAGCGCCTCAATATTGCTCAAAATTATGCATTGGTTGATGAACCAAATGCACCAGTTCCTCTGAGTATAGTATGGTTGATACCGCAGTATTTGTTCTTGGGAGTTTCTGAATCACTTACTATGGTTGGTTTGCAAGAATTTTTCTACAATCAGGTGCCGAGCGGGTTGAAAAGTACTGGTCTTGCTCTGTATCTCAGCATCTTTGGGGTAGGAGGGTTTCTTAGCAGCTTTCTGATCTCTGTGATTGAGAAAGCTACAGGTGGACAAGGTAGTGACAGTTGGTTTTCTGATAACTTGAATAAGGCACACCTTGATTATTTTTACTGGCTGCTCGCCGGACTAAGTGCCGTAGCATTCATAGCATTTCTTCTTGTGGCGAAGTCTTATTCCTATAATTGAGCTTGCACCTGTCAATATCTGAGCAGAAAGTTGAAAATGAAACTCTTTCGACATTCCAAAGAGGTGGCAATGTTTCTTGTTTCACAAAAAGGAAATGTTGTACTGGCTTGGAGCCCTTCAAAATGAGGAATTAAGATCGGTTTGGTTCTGGTGGTGACGAAGTTTGTAACCATTACAGGGAATCGCATTGTCTCCAGCGGAGGCCCTGGGATGTATCCCCTTGATTGCCTTGGAAGTCAAGCTGATTAGCTGAACCTCAACCAGGAGATGATCAATGTACCTATTCTGAGTGCGGAATTCTTGAAGTTGGGCCCTATATATCACTGTATACTGTATACTGTATGTAAATTTTGCCCTTTAGAACTGTTATATCTATAGCATCATATGTTAATTTCTGTCTGCTCCAATTATTGAAACAAACCTTATGTAGTTCGAAACCAGATATCAATCTGAGAGATTCTTTATAGTTTATTAGGAAGTAGGCATCCCATGAAATTCTAGTTTAGTTATCAAGAGTATATAATGATGCAAAAGAGCATCGGTTGAAGTCAATTGCTTTATATTCTTCTACCTCTTCATCTTTGAGCGATGGTTTCTTTTCGGAGGGATTTTGAACTGGTACTGAAGAAACAGTTTTAGCTTCCTGGTCTGTAGGTCTGTTAAGATTGAGTGATTTGAGATTATTCGGTTTTCAATCAAAACTATCCAATATTAGCGGTTAAAATGGAATACCAATTCGGTTTTCATATGTGTACTGAATGTGACGATTGCTTAGTTATGGTTGCGCCAATTGAGATGTGGAAGTTGCAAGATCAAGAAAAGTTAAGAGTTCGTAGTGAGATTTTTTTTTTCAAGTTATTGAATAGTTTATGCTTATGAATTGGGTTGGAATATAACTTTCTCAAGTTATTCCATCCATAAAATATGATGAGTATTCTAGTACTTTAGACTTTATGCTCCTTCAAAGAAAAAAAAAAAAAAGAAATGGAATACCAATTCCGTTTTGTCTTTTTCCAACCAAAAAAAAAAAAAAAAAAAAAAAACAAACAAACAAACAAATTACGTTGAATCGAGAATACCAAATTAACTTTGTTTTGTTGGGTCGGGTCTCGGGTCCTCACCCAGTGAATATATTCTTGTAAGAATATCTTTTGGCTTCACTAGTAAATATGTTTATTTTCTTAGGGTGTGTTCGGTTGCTTGGGCGTTGAAATTTCATTGGCATTAGAATATTTTGGAATTTAATTAGCATTTAAGATATTCTAATTCAATGCCAATTTATCTGTTCGGTAAAATCATGGAATTGGCCACAAATTCAATTGGAATTCCAAATTCTCTGTTCGGATGGTCAAGTAATTGGGTTGATTTTGGCTTTTGATTAGTTTTTTTTAAAAAAAAAAAAAGAAAAAAGAAAAAATTGAGTTATTTTGAAATTACTACAACTTTTAATTTTTATTACGTAAAATAGTGTCATTTCTGGAAACGGTGGATTTTGAAACAAAATGCCATCATCGGCCAAATGATGTCACTAGAAGAGTCCCAATCTCTTAAGCAGAAAAGTAAACAAGATCATAATGCAGAACAATAGATTCAAACATTCCTAGTTTATAAGATCAGAATGAAGGCAGCTCTAACAGAATTCATCAAATTATCAAACTAGCTTAAGCTTACCTTGATAAATTCTGAATAGACAAATGTAATATCCCTCCATGAACCACAATTGAACCTTAAGCCCTAATCACAATGGATACAAACCACTTGTGACACTTTTAAGCAGTCAAGATGTAGTCAACTGAGGTCTCAATCGACCTGGAAAAGCAACTAAGGCTATTGCCAACTCAATTTTCAATGACTACTTCATATTAGAAGATAACAGATAACCACCAATGTATAAAACAAAAATCGCTTGAAATATTTATGGCAATGTTTAAAGTCTAGAAACATTTCTAGCTCATGAGATAAAGTGGACACAACACCTACATCTACTCTTCTAAATTGTAAAACATTCTAAGGAATGGTTTCCCTGGCAATCCTTGTAACATTTGTCCAAATCATCTTGCAGTTACAATGCACAACCAAAAATATTCATGTATCTGTCACCCACAACAGAAGTGCAATAAGTTATTACCAAAACGGCCCACAAATAGCAAAACTTCGTATTCAACTTAAAATTATGGACACACATCACAAAGTATTAAGCATATTACCGTTTAACTGTTAAGCCATAAAATAATATGGCTACAGATCACAAAGTGTTAAGCCATAACATAATAATGGTGGAAGAACATCCTCTGGGTAAAAAGGAACAACATCATCACACTCTGCTCTAAATGACAAGCAAAAGAGGGCCTAATCTTTAGCTTAGCAGAAGAGAAATTGAAGGGGGTCTTTATTTACTTTGATCACTTTTGATTTAACATATAATAAAGAGTAAAGCACACCACGCACAAAAACCAAGTTGCCATCCTGCTTCAAGTAATTCAGTTCACAAGGAAAGCAATCTTAATTAGTTTTCAGCAAAACATAACTATCTGGCAAGGACAGAACACGATTTTGGCAAAAAATCTAAAACCAGTAGACAGAAAAGAATTTAAGGATCAAACCTTATAAACACACTCAAAGAGCACCATGCAGCACAAAATCTCCTGCAAATCAGAAACATTTTCAGCCTTAAGAACAACAGAGATCCTGGAGTTGTTTCTTTCGCTTGAAAGAAAGATAAGGTAGAATGAATTGAAATGATGCTGTAAATTGCAGTAACTCATATTGGATCAACTAGAAAAGGTGAAAGAATATTACCTGAACAATCAGTTTTCTTTGTCAAGTTTGGCCATAAGCCATTTGTATTTCAACTCAACTAGGAATCCCACAAATGTATCAAACATAACTCGATTGAGTATCATCATATCCACAGCCTTGATTTTCTGCATGTTATCCAAATCAATTTCCTTCAATTCTGACAAAATTTGTTGAGGGGTGATCTTTGTTTTTTGTGCTATCACAAGTTTAGTCTTTTTTCTTTCCCCCAAGATGTAATCACTAAACTCAGGAGCCATTTGCGTCATATAATCAGGAGCTTGCATTGATGTTGGTTTTTTTCTCGAGCCTTGAGAACAAGCAGAAGATGTGCCTTCCTTTCGCTTTTGTCGGGCCAACAAAAGTCTCATAGCTTCGGATTGATTATGAATCTCTTCAGATGGATCTCCTATGTTAAAAGAGTTAACCTCATTCTCAGCATTATTCTCCTCAAAAGTTGCTGCCCCTTGGCCATCGGCACGGTCTTGCGAGAAAATTGCACAAATATCATTCCAATTTTCAATCACAATTTTGTTCCTATAAGGAGCAAGTTGGGGGTTGGCCTGTATTAAAAAAAAAATTATACATCAATACAGAGAAGTAAATACATTTCAAACCCTCTAATGCAAAAGAAGCTTAATGATGTATTACCATAAGAGTGATGAAAATAAAACACAACAAAGAACATAATGATTTGCTGTAAAGATAAGAATACTTAGGAATATGCAAAATAACAAATTAACAATAGTAATATGTCCCTGTATGAACGACAATCTAAATCATCCTTTTGACACATATTTACATCACACAAAATGCATAAATGGGAGGAAAAATACCTGCAGTCGCTCATTCCAAACATTTTCATCGTGGATTGCAATTCTGCCCTTTACGTAGTCCCATGTGATTGGAGAGTCGGAATTGCTAGAGACCAATAACGGATACAAGATCTCATGGTGCTTTGCCCATGTCTTCAAACGAGATTGGACTTTGCTCTAGTCTACATTAACTTTCTGATGAACATAAAGTGCCTTTATAGCTGCTGTCCATGAGGAGGACTTCCAAGCCAATTTCCTATCACATTTGTTTCCTTGAGCCATTTGATCTATAAGACATGTCCCAAGAACCTTCTCCAGCTCGGGAGTCCAAGTGAAATAGTTTCCTTTTGCTTTTTCTTTCACTTGAGAGCTTGTTTGTGAATTAGAAGCCATCTATAAAGTCCTCCTAAACCTAAAAAAATAAGAACAATGAACAAGTACACTAAACAATTCTTACCATGATATGATCCTAGTCAACTAAAATCTTAAATTTCCTTACTTCACTATAGAAACCAAAGTATCTTATCTACTACAGAAAAGTCTGACTGTTAAATACCAAAGTATTAGTGTCTTTTGAGCTCTAAAAGCTCCCCAACCAGAAAAACAATGAATTATTAATTGGAAACACCTGGTAGTAGTAGTAGCATGTACTTTTAGCCCAAAACAACATAATCACTGGTTAACAAGAAGCCTGAATTGGAAATCCAAAAGGTTAAGCTAAAACAAGAAGCAAATCAGAAATCAATAATTCAGATCAAACATGAAGTTCAACCTTCATTCACCTCAAATTCAGATTTTATTCCCTGTAGCAATAAAAGGGAAAAAATAAATTCCTGTACTTGATCTAAATTCAATAATTACTCTATGATGAAGACCAATAAAAATTAGTTCAAAGTACAACAATCAAGCAACCCAATCAAATGACCAAAACAAATAGAACGAAACACATCATCTAAAACCTCTGCATCTCATCATAATAATAGTGATGAAACTAGATTTAGTAACAGCAAGTCTTTGACAAATAGGCACATTGAAAACTCCTCTTAGCAAAGCAACAAACAGAGAGAAACAGAGCATTGCAGACCAAAGATACATTGAAACAAGCGATATTATAGAGAGTCACGACCAATTTTTTTTGCAGATTAAACCGTTGTATTTTGGAGGTTTTGAGCTTTTAACCTATCTATTTTGAAACAAAATTCCACAAACAGATGACCAGAAAATGAAGATTCCTTTAACATTGTATATGCTTTGGCTAAAATCCAACTTGAAGATCTCCTCCCCTTTTCTATTTTTCTTGCTTCCCTACTCCAAAAATATACGAAACAACTCCAATATATATATATATATATATATATATATATACATATTTTGATATTTTTCCTCCCTTACCCACAAAGGAATCACATCGAATCCAAGTTAAAGGGAAGGGGGAGGAGTTTAAACTTTAAAGGGGTTATTGATATATGTGGGTTCTCATTAACTGAATAAATTGATACTTTGTTTAGACTCGTCAGCCTCCAAAAACAACAATCAGATCAGTCCTACAACTCCAACAGAACTTCAAGCAGCTCCAGACATTTTTTTTTTAAAAAGTCCCAACATAAGAATAATATCAAACAGAAAAATCAAAGAACTGGTAGGAAAATTCAATGATTTTGACAACATCTCCTGAAAAAATGAATTGAATCAAAGATCTTTTGCTTAGATCTATATAGAAACCTAATGTATCCCTCAAATCATCAGAACCCAAAAAAGAAAAAGGAGTAGAGGAACACATACAAGGTAGTCGCTGCAGAATGATGAAGAAGAAGGAAACTCTGGGGAGCCGGAGAAAAATGGTTGCACTGTGGTGGAGAAGGAGAAGTCGTCCGTCAAAGTCTCGTGACTCTCATCGATGAGAGGAGAAAAAAAAAAGAAAAGAAATTAGGCCGTAAAAATTTTTAAAGGATGGGGAGATCCAGATAGCTTATAACCCGGTATTAACCCGATAATAACCCACATACTGTTCAACTCCATGAGAGTTTGGATTTCCAAATAATAGTTTCCAGCCCGGAGTTGAAATCATGGCATTGGAAGCCTTTTAGCATTGGACCAATGTCAATGCCATCTTATTTATGGACAGCCGAACATCGGATTTGGCTTGGGGCCCAAATTCCAAATCCAAGCCCTCAATGTCATGCAAATGAACAGAGGCTTATAGTGATTTAAATTCTTGTTTTTGGCATTCCATTCCAAACTATTTCCTTTATATCAAGATCAACTGCTATTTGTAATGCATAATTCCAATTCATAATCACATTATTAATGGAGAGTAGTGATACGTATAGGGAAAAAATGACAAGAAAAATTTACAAAGAATGATGTATCAAACATTTAAACTACACTCTAACTTTATATGTTTAAACCCTGTATGGAAAATGTTTAAAATGAATGGGTGAGACCATTTCCTTAAAAAAAAATTTTATAATTTTTTTTTGTACCTATCATTATTCATTAATGGACATTACGGCAAACATAACACGTTGTACACTGCCAAAGTTAGCTTAGCAAATATAAAAACTACTATAATGAAAACATAAAGATTATAGAAATATAAATTTAAAATAAAAAGAAAATCTTCTTTTTCAAAATACAAATTCAAACAGAGTAAAAAACTTGGCTATAATAGGGATGACATTCATAGGAGTGATGACCTTGGCTTTTGTTTTCTGGGTGGTTTTGTGCATGGATGACTCAGGCGCCTAGTGATGACCTTCGCTGTCTAGTGATATTCATACTTTGGGAAATTTGGAAAGCGCGGAATTTTACTATACGAGGTCAGGATTCACCACCACCACCACCACCACAAATTGTCCAGCAAACTTGTAGGGCCAAGTCATCTTATCGACTTACCCTCCTTCAGGGGAACCTGTATCCTTAAGCCCGGTCTCTTCCATCCTTTTAGAACAGCCTCCGAGTTTTGAATTACCACAACTCTTCATAGATCGTGCCTTCCGCTCGTCTACAGTTGCACATGGGGGAGGATGGGTTCTTTGTCATTCAAATAGAAGTTTACTCTTGCAAGGTAGTAGCCGTTTCAATGCTTCGTCCGCTTTAGAAGTTGAGACAAGGACTTGCTGGCTGGCACTTATGGTGGTGCTCGAACAGGGATTTGATCGCCTCATCTTGTTCTCCGATTGTCAGACCTTGGTCCAAACCTTTTTGGATTCCACACAGACACCGCAAGAAGTAGCTTCTTTATTTTATGATATTCGCATCCTTAGATGTATGTTTCGTTCTCTTTGTGTTGTTAAGACTTCTAGATCACAGGTGAATGCTGCACATATCCTTGCTCAGAGAGTATGTGTCGCATCTGTTGTATAACTTTTGCTTTGGCATCTATAATGGTATGCACGTTTGTACGGGCTTTCAAAAAAAAAAAAATTAAACCGCCTTGTTTGTATTAAAAAAAAAAGAAAGAAACATTATAAAAAGAAACAAAAGAAACAAAAGAAGAAGAAATGCCAAAAGAAAACATTTCTCAAAGAAGATAAGAACGAGTTCCTACTTTACAATTGGATAGCACTCTTTTCATTTTAAAATTATACTCCCTCTATTTCAAAATGTAAGTCGTTTCAGGTTTGAAGAAATATTTTAAAATATAGGTTATTTTAGGATTTCTAGGCAAATAAAAGATCAACTTCCCAACTTTACCCTCTAACCACTCTTCATTTAGTTTTAGTTATAGTTCCAAAACAATTAATGATGGGTAAAATATATATTTAACACACAAAGTTATTAAATGATTGTCTCTTTAGTTTACGTGTAGATGTAAGATCTATGTGGACTTTATACACAAATATATATAATTGTATATTATAAGTTATCTTAAAGTACCAGTCCAATTAAAGTGATCTAATTAAGTATACTTAAGTTTGGACTTATGATAATAAATTAGAGTGTGGCCCAGTATTGTGTAGAAACCCTAAAGCCCAGTTTCCTGTTCTGTGATGGTGGACCGGAAACCCTATTATATATTGGTTGTGGTCCCCGGATGAGCCGTCATACCAAATCTTCGATTCCCCATTTGTCAGAGGTTCCCGCAAGGGCTTGACGGAATCATCTGGAAAACCAAACCGGATCGATGTTCTTGTCGCTATAGATTAAGGTACGCTTCCGCTTTCGTATAGTTCTCAATAATTTGATGTGAAGGTCTCTACAGTATTCGGTTTATTCTAACAAGTAGTATCAGAGTACCCTTCATGTCAATTATTGAGAAATATGGTTTTAGATATTTCGATGAAGTTTATATGATTTTTAATTCGTGAAATCTTATTGATTGACCATTTTGGTACCACTTTGTACCCCGTACATTCTGGGTTTCGGTTTTAGGTCATCAACTTGATCTCACGGATTAAGAGTTTGGTTTTTTGGTTTTGATGAGCGATGTGTGCTTCGTAAATTGCTTCTTGAATTATTGAATCAAAATTGATTATTAAGGTTTGCTGTAATTTACAAAGTTGAAAATTTTGGGTTTTTGATCCGGTTTCGTTGTTGAGCAATTATGTTTTACGATTCTTTTTTCGGTGATCAATATTGGGGTTTTCGGATGCCGACCGAGACAAACTTTGATCAGTTTAGGTATTATTACTTGTGACTAAGAATTAATTTCCATAAGGATTTGTTTAAGTCACTGCATGCAAGTCAATTTGTACAATGTTTATTGATACATACTTCCGGAATTTGTCATGGGTTTGCTTTTATTAAAATTCATGTCAAATATTTTGGACTTGAAAGATTTAAAGAATATGGGTTTGGTAATATTGACTTGATTGCTAGACTCCTCGGTGATCAATTTTGGTTTGCTAATTTGATTGATTAGCATATACAGAATTTAGGGTTTTAATAATTCGATAAATTACTTTGGTTTCAGAAATTCTTGTTATTAATAAATTTAAATCAAGAAACTATTTATAAATTAATTCATTTAGTTACAAAATCAAGATCTTGGTTAATTTACTGACCATCCTGGGTCAATTCATGGAGTGATCAGTTTTGTTTTGTGGATTAATTGGTAGCAAGTTTAAAGGGTCAATTTTAAAAACAACTCTTATGCTGGAACCATGCATATGTATATTGATTGAATATCTAAATGCATATAGTAAATGGCACTTAGATGCACTACCGGTTCAAGTATTTCAACTTTTGTGCAATAATCAATAAACTTTACATATATGCAAGTTTTAAGAATTAGGAAAAGTGCAGTAGTTTATGGCCCTGACTTGGCACGAAATGTATCCAGAAAATTATGCCCATGATGATGCTGCATGTTCAGATTTCTTTCGGTTTGTAGTTAAAGGATTAAATAGATCAAATGATGTTATATGTATACCTTAATCATGTTTGATTTATAAAATTTCAGTCACTTTTTAGTCCATTAAAGAAATTTTGGGGAATACTCTAATATTTTGGACTATGAAGTAATATGATATAAATTCATATTTGGCATAAAAAGAAAATCTATCTTTGGACATCTAAGTATTTTTAAGTTGATTGATTGATTCAATACGTCATCAAAGTGACTTTTTTTGTATTGATTGATTAATTTGAAATACTAAGATGACAGTTATGTGTATTTTGATTTCATGCGTGTAATGATCGGCCCAAAGGAAGGTCATTATTTAGTCGAAATTAAAATATTCTTGTGGTAATAAATATTTGATAATTATTATGATTTTTTCATGTGAATAATAAGTCGATCCAAAGAAATGCTTATTATTTGACAGGAATGAATTGTCAATATTTGGTTACTACGCCAAGAGTACCACTTCTGAATTGGTGTTTCTGTCCAAAGACTAAACCCAATGTTGCCCTAGGTATCTTGTAAGCGGGAATGCCAAACTTGAATTTATTAATCATGTCATTTTAAGTTTTAAATGTGAGTTTGTGTTTGGTTAATTTTTAATACAGTTGATTCCGCTATTTTGGTTAAATCGCCTTTAGTTAACTCCGTTAAGACTTTCAAGAACTACAAGGAAACATTAAGGAATGAGTACTCTTTCAAGAGATCTTGCTTCCATAAGGTATAAGGACAAAAGGGAACATACGAACATGTATTATTGAAAGTATCATCTCGAACTAAGATTTAAGGTACTAAAGTTAGAGCTGATTTCTCTCATACACAATGAGATTTGGTTCAGAACAGTTTTATTGTTATTAAGTAGAATGGCCTCGTAATGAGTTCATTTCATATTGTGTACAAGAAGGGAGATTAAAGTGAGAGATGAATATATATTTGGAAAATAAAGAACAACCAATAAGTGCTCAATTAAGTTTAAATCATTTAGAAAATAAAGAAATCGGAAAAGAAAGATAATTAAGTTACAGTATACAGTATCACAAAGGAAGCAAAATTAGGAAATTAAATTTAGTTGCTACTTTTGTGGTGGTACTTCTCTGTTTGATTTAAAGGAATTATGTAGTAATTGTTTTTGTTCGTTTTAAGGTTCATTCTATTTTGGTACCTAGCTAAGCATACTTAGTGAGTAGACTCCGGTACTACTACTCATATAAGTGTATCTATTATGTTTGGTTGGTTGAATCACCAAAAACAAATTGATGGTGAAAGACACATCTATATGGTGCGTAGGTTAGACAATTACAGTTGAGGCAATAAAATTAGGTTATCATTAAAAGACTGAAACTTATTTGGTTTTGAAAGAGTTTTTTGTTGTTCCATTTTTAGACGAAATTTTATTCATGTTTCCATATTGAACAAAAATACGGTTATTTTTATTTTTTTGGTGACAGTCTGTTTGCCTCTTTCAAAAATCAAGAAAGTCAATTCAGTTCTTTATTAAGTCATGGTAACCTTTATTTACTTAAAAACCATTGCTTCAATTAACCAAATATTTCTTGATAATTTATGTGGTACTAAAAGAAAATTTGGTAATGGGAATTTCGTATCAATTTGGTAAAACTATTTAAGGCACTTGCTTTAGATAAATAATAAAGTTAGCCGGGATTCGACTTGACTTATCAGATTTCAAAATCTGAGTTAAGTGCAGTAAGCAAAACAAACAAACAAAATAAGATTGGGTGGCATAAGATTTAAGATTTTCAGATGTTGTTAGAACTAATACATACGGATACATGTAAACTATTCTTTACGGTCTTTTTTTAGAATGGTCAAGCATATTGTATTATGTTCCCAAACAACTTCTTAGGGCTACCTCTTTACCATTACTGAGAAGTACTAAGGTCTAGACTTGTTCAAAGTTTGATGACTAAATAAATTTCATATACTAATTAAGTATTAGGTGAACTATGTCTAGGTTTTGTTCAAATTTCTTAGTGAACATGGTATGTCATATAGTAATACTATGCCGGAAAGAACTATTATGAATAGTGTTATTATAAGACGAATTTGGAAACTAAACAACTAAGTAGTATGACAAGTTCTACTACTTAGTTAAACTCCCTAAGAGAAAAACGATATGAAAGAATGCAACTTAAAGATATGACAGTGTTCCAACTAAAGCAACAATCCTTGTGGATTATGGACATGCAAATAAGCTAGATACATGCATTTTCATATTTTGAGTTATCCGCTTAAGGCAAGGCCGCATAGGTCTACAGAAACAAGACTGGATTCGGTTTGTTTTTTGTTGGATACACTAAAACATAATAAGTTCTAAGATCCAAAAATAATCCTTCTTTTAGACGTGAAATATCTTTTTTCTTAAGAATATTAAGTTTGGGGGGAAGATAAGGTTAATGATATTGTATTTAAAGGGAATATTTTTCTATTCATATCGTAATCTAAGATAATGTTAAAACTTTTCCTCATCAAGACAATTGTACATGACAAACTCAACAATCTCGAGTATGGATGCCAAGAGATTCCAAAGGAGAGAGAAGAAATACAGTTACGATCAATGTCATAAAATAAATAAATACAGTAATTGATAAAAATAACGTTTAGGTTCTTTTCTCATTACCCAAAGGTGATGTAAAAAGATATAAGAGTTATTTTCTCAATAAAGAATTTAGTCATAAAGATGGTATTATCTTATAGAGACTCTTTAGTATTATTGGAAGTCCAAATTTTAAGACATTCTATAATGGCATATATGGTACATTTTACATTTAGGTTTCATTAGATGGATATTAAAAGATTGTTTCTTAATGGCGACATTTTGAGACAATTTATTTGATGCAACCCGAAAACTTTGTTTGATGGTTTGCAAATTAAAGAATTGCATCTAAGGAAAAAGTTTCCTGTTAATAACTCACGTACTTTTAAATTTTCATCTCATTTGATTTTGAGGTGAATATTGTGATGATTATACACATCAAAATTTCAGTGAGAGTTTAAGGCAGATATTTAGTAATAAATAAATAAAGAATTCAGATTTAGATATTTAATAGCAGCTACAAGGTTACGCGGAATCATTAAGACATTAAAGATTACACGCTCACATATCGGAGTTCGGTCAAGTTAGAGATCATTCTGTATCCCGACTTCGATTCAATTTAGTTATCGATATTGTCACAAGGCTGCAAAAATAGTATGGTCTTAAAAGACTACTTAAGTTATAATATGACAATAATGCAACAATTTAAGATACTCTAATAACAACGAATATTAAGTTCTTAATTATTAGATTTAAGTTCAGAATGAACAAATTTTTAAGGAGCACATTCGGACAAACTCTAATATCACAGATTACTTCAGTTAAGGTATTCGGTGAGTATCTCGCTTAAATGAGTGTTGTGTGATCTGATGATATGACGGTTGAGTGGGAGTTTATAATTTTAGTTTTACTAAGGGTTCATACATTTATGAACATTCAGATATTAATTAATACTACAGTACAAAGTCTAAAGTCTCAAGTAAAGTTTAAGGTATAAGGTTAAGTTTTTCAGTGTGCTTACATTTTGAAACTTTGGCTGATCTCACGAAAGTATATAGAGGACCAGTTGGAAATAGGCATGTTAAATATCACATTACATGTAATTTCCATGCTACACATCCACACTTGATTCATGACATTTAGTTATCTTAATGTACGTGACCACTGATGGGTTTAGTTGCGATTAGTGCAACGAGTGCCTCTTTGATCCTATGTTAATGTAATTAATGGACGAGATTGTTTAATATTCTTTTATGATAGCAAATTTTGAGCGCTCTGAAGTTTTCGGTATAATATATAATTATAAGGTATATAGTCCAAGTGGGAGATTGTAAGATCTATGTGGACTTTATACACAAATATATATAATTGTATATTATAAGTTATCTTAAAGTACCGACCCAATTAAAGTGATCTAATTAAGTATACTTAAGTTTGGGCTTATGATAATAAATTAGTGTGGCCTAGTATTGTGTAGAAACCCTAAAGCCCAGTTTCCTGTTCTGTGATGGGTGGAACCGAAAACCCTATTATATATTGGTTGTGGTCCCTGGATGAACCGTCATGCCAAATCTTCGACTCCCCATTTGTCAGAGGTTCTCGCAAGGGCTTGACGAAATCATCTGGAAGACCAAACCGGATCGATGTTCTTATCGCTATAGATTAAGGTACGCTTCCGGTTTCGTATAGTTTTCAATAATTTGATGTGAAGGTCTCTACAGTATTTGGATTATTCTAATAGTAGAGTCTAAAGTGACTTACATTTTGAAATAGAGGAAATAATTGTCTTTTATTTATGAAATAATACTCTAAAATATATATTATTTTACAATTTCAAGTCATACTGACTTTTCAATTTTATCCTCGTGAACAACTCTCGATCTTCAATCAATAAGTTTTGTTAATAAATTTTAGTTTTGTTTATTAATCAAATATATATAATAAAAGAGTTATAAAAAATATTTGACACATAAATTAAATTAAGCGATTGTATAATTTTGGTACAACATTCTGAATGACATGTTTGTAATTCCCTACTCTTTGGTCCAATATTTGTCTTGGTAACTATCTCTATTACTCTATTAAAAAAGTGAAAGAAAAAAAAATTGGATTCATACAATTTAATCACATTTTTTGGGATTGTGCAACTATAAATTATTTGGGACACCTCTTTCTTACGTGGAAAACATGCATGAGATGGCCCAGAGAATTCTAGTAAAACGCAAAAACCTCTCTTCTTCCTAATTAATACTCTTTCCGGTAAAGGACCATTTAATTTAATTCTTTCCCGAAACGAATTCATTTCTACAGCCAGAAATGAAATCCAGATTTGATCAGACAATCAAATCCCAACTGACCCCAAAAATTTCTCTGGCTTGCTCTAAATGTAGTTAATTAATTAGGATAAAACCTGACATTAAGTCAAAAGTACACACGTAACCACCCACTTACTTAATTATCCCATCTCTTCATTGAAGTTTACAACTCAGCTGAACAGAGGAAAAAAGAAATGGCGGCTGTGGAAGATCCGCCGCCGAGAGACGACGAATTCATTGAAGGAACGGTTGATTTCAAAGGCTGCCTAGTTAAGAAGTCCAATTCCGGCAAATGGAGGTCGGCTTTATTCATCATAGGTAAATTATATGTATACCAAAAAATGTCAAAAACAGAGCCATTAATAATAAGTTTGATTTCTTACTCAAAGAACAAAAATGGTTTCTTTTTTATTTCCAGGAGTTGAAATGGCGGAGAGGTTTGCTTATTATGGAATCAGTGCGAATTTGATCAGTTATTTGACCGGCCCACTTGGTCAATCCACGGCTAAGGCGGCGGAGAATGTGAATGCTTGGTCTGGCGCCGCCATGCTGTTGCCGTTGTTGGGTGCTTTTGTGGCGGATTCCTATCTCGGCCGTTACCGCGCCATTATCATTGCTTCTCTTCTCTATATATTGGTTAGTCGGAAGATTGAAACTTGTTCAAGATTTTTGTGATTTTTTTTTTTTTTTGGTTCGGACAGACTAAAAAACTGTCGGAACTCTGTTCCAGCTTGAGTAACTTGAATTCATTAGTACATAACTAAGGAATAATGAGGTTTTGTTGTTAATGAGAAGTCAAAACTGCAATTGAATCCCATAAGTTGCTCAGATTCATTTTTATGATCATGTATGTTCTGATCATGTATGTTATGTAGTGATTGCTGATTTGGTCAGAGTGCCATTTAGTATTTTCCTTTTTGTAAAACTCTGTTTCAAATTACTCCAGAAAATGTCAATTATACTTTCTTTGATTTGGGATTATCGTTTACGATGCAATTGGGAAATGCATTAAAACTTCTTACCCGAATCTTAAGATGTGGAAGAAGATAGCAAATGAATGTCGTATCGGGAAAGGAATGGACATAATTCGAAAAAATTTAATGGGACATTATATTCTTGGAGGAACGTGTGATTTGCAGAAGGCTAACGTATTTAAGATTGTTACGAATCTCAGGGACTTGGCCTTCTGACACTTTCAGCTGCTCTTCCTTCTTTTAAGTCTTCTGATTGCGAAAAAGTAGCAGGTGCAACGCCTTGTTCACCTCCAAAGCTTCAAATGATCCTCTTTTTCGGTTCATTGTACCTAGTTGCGCTAGCCCAAGGCGGGCACAAGCCTTGTGTTCAAGCATTCGGCGCTGACCAATTCGATGGAAACGACCCCAAAGAAAGTAAAGCTAAAAGCTCTTTCTTCAATTGGTGGTATTTTGGTGTGTGTTTGGCTGTCACTGTCACATTAGTGGTTTTGACCTATATTCAGGACAACCTTAGCTGGGGAATTGGATTTGGAATTCCATGTGTTCTGATGGCTATAGCACTGATCATTTTCTCACTTGGAACTGTGACCTATCGGTTTGCTGTTAATGATGGCAAACAGAGCCCCTTCATGAGAATCAGCCGCGTGTTTGTAAATGCAGCAAAAAACTGGAGAACAAACTCTTCAACATTACATAATGACCAAGGTTCTCAACAATTCAAGTAAGTAAATTCTGGTTTTAAAATTTTAGTGGTCTGATAACTTAAGTTGTTTAATTTTGATCTTAAATGACATATCGCTCTTTGATTTAGTCACTTAAGACACTTCCCAGTTTTTGGAATTTCTTCAAATGATTGGCTAAGTAGATCTGTAACACAGGTGCCATTGAAATAAAAACTTCTTTAAACATATCCCTTTCTCTGTGTTGTGACAGGTTCCTAAACAAAGCATTAGTAACACCTAATGCTTCCAAGGAAGAAAAGAGTTCTTGTAGCTTAAACGATGTTGAAGATGCAAAAGCACTTTTTAGGCTAGTTCCAATATGGATCAGTTGCTTAGTTTATGGAATCGTATATGCTCAATCATCAACTTTTTTCACAAAGCAAGGAGTTACAATGAACAGATCCATCAGTTCAACCTTTAAAGTACCACCTGCTTCCTTACTAGCCTTCATCAGCACCACAATTGTTGTTTTCATCCCTATCTACGACCGCATCATTGTTCCAATCGCGAGAGCCATAACCAGAAAGCCATCAGGGATAACTATGCTGCAGCGGATTGGAACCGGATTGTTCATCTCAATACTATCCATGTCTACAGCAGCCCTAGTCGAGATGAAGCGCCTCGAAACTGCTAGGAATCACGGCTTGATAGATAAGCCAAAGGAGACGGTTCCCATGAGTGTTGCATGGTTGATACCTCAGTATTTGTTGTTAGGAGTTTCTGAATCATTGACACTGGTTGGTTTGCAAGAGTTTTTCTATGATCAAATGGCTAGAGAGTTGAGAAGCACAGGGCTTGCTCTGTTCCTCAGCATTTTCGGCATCGGAAGCTTCCTTAACACCTTTCTCATATCTGTAATTGATAAAAATACAAGCAGAGATGGACATGAAAGCTGGTTCTCCAACAATTTGAATAAAGCACATCTTGATTACTTCTACTGGCTTTTAGCTGGACTAAGTGTTCTAGCATTGATAGCTTATTTGTACTTCGCCAAGTGTTACATTTACTATCGATGCAAGAACTGACATTTAAAGTTGTACTTCCTAGCTATAGTTTCTTTACCTTGACCTGGCATACCAGAAATTGAAACAATTGTAAGATTCTTTTGTCCTCTTATAAGGTGATTGATTACTAGCTTTGCACCCTCCTTTGAGTCCTGTATAAAATTCTTTTTTCATCAGTCCAATGCAAGGAGATGTGTTCAGCCCAAGTTTGGGTGTGAATTTAATACTCATTCGACATCTTATTGCCAACAATCCACAAAGAAACAAGATCAACGAAGTTCCCAAATAATAGTTTCCATTCCTTCTAAACCAATTTGTTGCTCTGAAAGAGCAATCCCATCAAATTTTGAGCTGATGAAAACCTCCACATTTTGCAGGATAAACCCAATAGATTTAGCTACATCAACAACAGATTTTGAAAAGCTAACAAAATTTCAGGGCTTACATTTCAATTCGCCACCCAAAAGAAGAAGACAATTAGTCTCAGCTTATCAAGTAATTTCTCTTGGACTTCAAATGCAGGATCAACACAAGTTCGACCCTCTTTCCACTCCGTTTTTTTTTTATTGAACTCTCATACATAAATTCTGCTAAAAAAACTTGAATAACCTATGAATCAGTCAATTGATACAGTGAGAGAATTATTAGAAATGAGTAGTAAGTGAATTAGAATTAAGTTTCTCAAGTGTTGAAAAAATAGAGTTAAGGTTAAGAGATTTTGTCCCACATTGGTGTTGGGAAGAGTTGGAGCTCACTTTATAAATGAGAGTCCAAAATTGACTTGCAAGTTGACTTGTCAATACTATACCATATCTCTCCCGCTCGCTTACGCCTGCGCAGGGGGGGTGCAAATAGAGGTCCAATTCGGGGCCAAAATCGCTTGACTCATGTGTGCGCACGACCTGCGAACACGAATACCAAACCGAACTCTCGCGGGCCTGATCAACAATCCACGAATTGGCATCCCTTTTATCCTATTAAAGCAGAATACATATTCTTATTGATGTGGCAACTTCTTATTAAAAAATTTTGGCTACAAATGCACGATATTGCTTTAACCATTCTGCCACGTGTCATCTCTTTTTAAAAGAAAAAAAAAACTTCTTATCCGGAAAAACAAAAGCTAATTTACAAAAATAGCTACACAATTTTAACTCCTAACACTTATCATTTATCAATCAAATTAAGATAGGATTTAATTTGTCCATAAACTTATCCCTTTTATTACTCCACATTCTTTTGTATGATTTCTGCATCAGTGTACTTTTCAATATTTTTTCTCCTTTTGCAGATGATTTTTTATTTTTATTTTTATTTTTGGCTAAAAAGGAAAAAAGTTAAATGTGTAGCTATTTCATTTTTTCCAAATCAAAAATTCATTTATCTATTAACACAAAATTAAAGTAGAGGAGGCGCCCGGGCATCTGCCTGGGCCAAACATCTAGCATTTAATTATATTAAAAGGCATAAATGAATTCATTTGACTGTTGGGCTGGTCAAAAACGTTTTGGAGGTTTTCTGCCATGAATTCTCTGTATTTAACAGAATTAAAATACTGAAACCGTTACAAGGTTTGCTGCGATTTGAAAGGTTTCTCCAGCCTATAAATAGGCACTCATTTTTCAAAGTTTAACACACCTTTTCTACCATCTCTTCTCAGATTCTTTTGAGCCTTTCTTTCTTTCTAATTTTCGGTGTTCATCAACTTGTTCTAAGCTCTAGTTCGCTTGTAGAGTTGCTTTGTGCTAAGTAGTCTCTGCGTTTTCGTTGTATTTCGGGAAACAGTTGCTTGAGATCCTCAAGCACCTTAGGAAGGGGCAAATCTGTTTTAAGGAGATCGTGTTTTCACGAGTCTCGGATTTTTTCTATTCTGATTTTCCTTAGCCTTTGCGAATACTCTTCGTATTTTTTCCAACAATCTTAAAACAGACTTTCTTTGTTCATTGTGTATTCATGATGGTTGATGCTCAGAAGGTTGATGATGGTGATGCTATTTTTACTAGCGCTGCTTCCGCTGCTGATGTGTCCCGTGTTACTATTGTTCCCGGGGTTGCGAGTTCTGCTGCTATTCCCGTTGTGCCCAATGTCCCAACTAGCTACGTGGAGAAACCGGAGAAGTTCAATGGAACGACAGCGACTTTCAAGGTGTAGCAACAAAAGATGTTGTTCTACCTGATAACACTAAACTTGGCGGGTTTCCTGACGGGTGTAACTCCTCCGGTGTCTGAAGGAACTTCTGTCGCACCAACAGTTCATGCATATGAGTCGTGGAAACGGTCAGATTTTCTTTGTCGTGGTTATATTTTGAATACTATTCATGATTCATTATATAATGTGTATGGAAAGTTTAAAACGGTTACGGATTTGTGGGAATTCATGGACCGAAAACATAAATCGGAGGATGTCAGCTCGAAGAAATTCGTAGTCGGACGGTTCCTTGATTATGTGATGATTGATTCTAAGACTGTTGATATTCAAGTGCAAGAGATCCAGCTGATTCTGCACGACATCCAGGCTGAGGGGATGATTTTGAGCGAAACCTTCCAAATGGCTGCGATCATTGAAAAGTTGCCTCCGGGCTGGAAGGATTTCAAGAACTACCTCAAGCACAAGCGCAAGGAGATGTCCTTGGATGATCTGATTGTTAGTCTTCGCATTGAAGAAGATAACAGGAAATCAGAATCAAAGGCGTCCAATGGCGTACAGGCTAAGATCAATATTGTAGAGCATGGTAAAGGCCAAAACTCGAACAACAAGGCCAAGAACAAGAACGCCAACAAAGATAAGGGAAAGCTGGGGACTACTGGTAGTGCCTCTAAGCAGAAACACAGATTCAAAGGTAATTGTTTTAATTGTGCAAAAACAGGTCACAGGTTTGCTGATTGCCACTCCCCAAAAAAGGATCATGAGGCGAACATGGTCAAAGACATCACTAAAAATGTGGAGGACATGCACCTGGTTGCTGTGGTGACCTAAGTGAACATGGGGGAGTCCAACCCAAAGGAGTGGTGGATGGATACTGGCGTGTCCAGACACGTGTGCACTCATCGAAGTCATTTCACCACATTTGAACCAGTCTATGGAGAGAAGATTTACATGGGAAATGCTGTTGTTGCTACTGCTGAAGGCAAAGAAACTGTGAAGCTCAAGATGACTTCGGGCAAGACTCTGACACTCACAGATATGTTGTATGTGCAAGAAGTGCGCAAGAACCTTGTGTCAGGATTCATGCTAGACAAGAATGAGTTTCACATTGTAATGGAGTCTAATAAGGTTGTTCTGTCTAAAGTAGGAATGTTTGTTGGGAAGGGGTCTGCAACCAAATGGGTTGTTCAAACTCAATGTAATGACTATTATCAATGAAATAAATGCAAGTACCTTTTCTGTTTATTTGATTGAGTCTTCCAATTTATGGCATAGTAGACTAGGTCATGTTAATTTTGATTTGATGCGTCGATTAATTAACTTGAACTATATACCAACATTCCAAATTGACTTAGAAAATAAATGCGAAATTTGCGTTGAAGCAAAGTTAACGAGATCATCTTTTCAAACGGTTGAAAGGAGTACTGAACCACTTGAATTAGTTCACAGTGATGTCTGTGATTCGAAATCGGTTCAAACACGTGGTGGTAATAAGTACTTTATCACGTTCATTGATGATAGCATAAAATATTGCTATGTTTATTTGCTAAAGAGCAAAGATGAAGCGTTAGAGAAATTTGTTTTCTATAAAACCGAAGTTGAGAGTACTTGGTAAAAAGATAAAAAGATTGAGAAGTGATAGAGGTGGCAAGTATGAAGCATCGATTTGTGGCTTTGTGCATAGCATGGAATTGTCCATGAAGTGACAGCACCTTATTCACCTCAATCTAATAGAGTTGCTGAACAGAAAAATCGCACATTGAAGGAAATAATGAATGCGATGTTGTTAAGTTCAGGACTACCTCCTAATATGTGGGGAAAAGCCGTCTTGTCTAGTAATCACCTTTCAAATAGGGTTCCTCAAATGAAAGAAGACAAGACTCCATATGAGTTATGGGAAGGAAAGAGACCATCCTACAAACACTTGCAAGTGTGGGGGTGTCTTTCGAAGGTAGTTGTATCTCCGCCAAAGACAATAAAAATTGGACCTAATGTATTTTTATTGGCTATGCACATAATAGTAATGCATATCGGTTCTTAGTGCATGATTCGAAAATTTTGGACATACACAAGAACACGGTTTTGGAATCAAGAAATGCTTCTTTCTTAGAAAATTTATTTCCTTGTAAGACTAAGGGAGAAGCCAATTCATCAAAACGAACTCATGAAGAAGTTCAAGATTTGGTTGAGGTTCAAGATGTTGAACCAAGACGGCGCAAAAGGGCAAGAGTAGAAAAATCATTCGGTGATGACTTTGTAATCTATTTGCTAGAGAGAGAACCTCGCACTTATGCTGAGGTAGTAAGTTCTTCTGAGGGACCTTTACGGGAAGAAGCCATAAAGAGTGAGATTGATTCAATTTTACAAAATCATACTTGGGAGCTTGTTGATCTCCCACCTGGACAAAAATCGTTAGGATCTAAATGGTTCTTTAAGAGGAAGATGAAACCTAATGGCTCCATTGATAAATAAAAGGCCAGGCTTGTAATCAAAGGATATAAATAACGAGAAGGTTTAGACTACTTTGATACGTATTCTCCCGTGACGAGAATAAATTCTATAAGGATGATACTTGTTATCGCAGCCTTAAGAAATTTGAAAATACATCAAATGGATGTTAAAACAGCTTTCTTAAATGGAGATTTTGATGAAAAAATCTATATGGAACAACCCGAGGGTTTCTGAGCTCCAGGAACAGAAAAGAAAGTTGGTAAACTAGTAAAGTTCCTGTATGGTCTAAAGCAAGCACCTAAAAAATGGCATGAAAAATTTGACCATGCAATGATTACTAGTGGATTCAAAATTAATGAGTGTAAAAAATGCATTTATGTTAAGGAGATAGAAAACGATTATGTCATATTATGTCTATATGTAGACGATATACTCATTGTTGGTAGTAGTGACAAGTTGGTCAAATCTACCAAGAACATGTTAGACTGTAAGTTTGACATGAAAGACATGGGTCTAGTTGATGTGATTTTAGGTGTTAAAATCATAAGGACAACAGATGGTCTAGTTTTGAGTCAAGCTGATTACATAGACAAAA